AGAGGTTCTACTGTGTTTATTCACAATTATAAGAAATAATTTTAACATAACATGTCCAAAGACCTGTAACAGATGCATGAGATGGCTATTCTAATACTTACTCAAAATAATGGTCATGCATCTATGTTGAGAGCAAGTCGTTACACTAACATATCACATATATATATATATATATATAATGGCCGTTAACACACAATGCACAAGGTCTATACGTGCACTTTGATAACCTCAATGTAACATATATAACATAGTTTAAGTGTGCACATATAGATGAAAAATAGTTAAAACTAACAATGTTTTGATCTAGAAAGATTCAATAGAAAGTCAAGATAACTCCCAATATTGAATTAAAACAATGTATGTACATTTGTTGAATGGCTTTCTATTTTTATCTGTGGGATTTATTGTATAAAAATAGCCCATGGCAGTAATGAGAAAACTTTAATGTATAAAAAAATGATTCCATGTGAAACAATTTCACTTAATAATAGTTACTATAAAAGATGAACATTTGGAGTACTACTTAACTTACACCAGGTTATAAGTATAACCAGGGCAATATCTAACCCTTTGGTGGTGACACTTTTTTTCAGCCTTTTTCTTACCAAAGGTGGAAAGGCAGCCATAAACAAAATGGTTAAAAACTACCCCAACCCCCTTTTGTACTTGCCCAGCCACTTGGGGTGGACGGTAGAGCGACGGTCTCGCTTCATGCAGGTCGGCGTTCAATCCCCGACTGTCCGCAAGTGGTTGGGCACCATTCCTGCCCCCCCCCCGGCCCCATCCCAAATCCTTATCCTGACGCCTTCCAAGTTCTATATAGTCGTAATGGATTGGCACTGTCCCCTGAAATTACCTCCCTCCCTCCCTCTTTTGTTAGCTTTTATTTTCAAATAGATAATATGTTCCAATTACCTAAAATCAAGGAGTGTGTTTTGCCAAGATGCATATTATCATTATAAATATAACCAATAATCTTAAACATTAGATTTTGGATGAGTGGGGTGGGGGGGGGGGGGGGGGGGACACATTCTTTTTTGGTTTTCTCTATTTTATTTCAAATAAAAACACGATGTGCTCTTTCCATAGCAACCATGCAAATTGATTATAAAACATGAAATATAAAAAAAGGGAAATTAAAATTTTAATCGTAGTTGTAATTACATATAATAAAAAAATAAAGTAACTCGGTATTAGGCCATACACGTTCCAAATGTATAGATCATCATCATAAATACAACAAATAAGCATATTTATCAAGGAATATCATGTTGCAAATTTTATTTTAGTTGTAAATTGCAGCTAAAAGTACGTTTTTGGTGCTACCGCATGAAGTGATATTTGAGTCTGTTGTCTGCCACTGGTTGTATTTACCAAGTCCAGCCGTCCGAGTCTCAAGACCAAACGACCTAGCCAAACATTACACGATTTCAAACATGTCTCTGATCACTTTTCCCATTCTAGGTCATTTTATAGGGGGATAAATTGGCTACTATCACTTGGTGCAGTCAAAGGGTTAAAGGAGAAAGAAGGCAATGGGTACAAATTACTGCAAAATATCTCTAGCATTTGGTACTCAGTATTATTTAGGCATTAAATATCTCTTCACTGGTCGTCTGTTCCTCCTCATGTGAAGTGGAAACGACTGTGTTTTTAACAGTTATTATTCAAAGAAATGTATAGTTAGTCTAAAACCCACCAAACACACACCGAAACTACGACGTTGGCACAACGTTCGAACAAGTTTTAACACTTCCTAACCAGTTATAACAACCAATATAGCAAGTTGTAACAACGTTCTAATACGTCATAAACACATTAAGGCAAGATGTAACAACTTTACTACAAGTTGTAACAAGCGGAAAATAGAGACAGTTTCGGTTTGTGTTTCCAGGGAAAGAAATTAATGCAAAAATTATAGAATAAATTATGTTATGCTTTAAAGAATCAATAATTACACAGCAGTAAACCTACAGTCATACTTTTTCATTTAAACATAACCCAGTGTCTTACCCTGCAATCTTGTATTCTGGGATCTACTGCATCAAAACAATTCAGATTTTGCATTATTCAAACACCAGAATCTTTTGATTAACTTAGGAAATGTAGATGTTTATCTTTCAGAATGTTTGGTAATATGTTTATTGTTTGTGATTTGTGTGTATATGTATGTATTAACACAATGTACTGAAAGGGGTGCGAATAGCTTGAGCTACCTCATCCCTTTGTGTGTATTTTACCTCAATAAACTTATTTCAATTTAAATTTTGATTAACTGTCAAAGGTTCCAAAACAGAAAAGGGAACATTACATAATCTAACATAATGCAGGTCATAAATAAGACTACGCTGGTGCACCCAGAAATAAGTACATACGGCACTGTATCGAAAAAGCCAAACCCGGAAGGCCACGTAACAAACCCTGTGTTACAGAATACTCTTAAACTTCCTAGATATCATCCAGGGTGCTAAAATGAGAGCAAAAAGACACAAGATGAGTGATGCCGAAGGAGTTGGATTCAACAAGGGTTGTATCAAGACACACACATGACTTGAGCAGCAGCAAAGCAAATATTCTGATTGTTCTGTTAATCAGGACATTCTATGAGGAGGAAGGGGATAAAGTGCGACAATGAGTTCCCACAGCAATCTTGAGGTTATCTTGAGATGATTTCGGGGCTTTAGTGTCCCCGCGGCCCGGTCCTCGACCAGGCCTCCACCCCCAGGAAGCAGCCCGTGACAGCTGACTAACTCCCAGGTACCTATTTACTGCTAGGTAACAGGGGCATTCAGGGTGAAAGAAACTTTGCCCATTTGTTTCTGCCTCGTGCGGGAATCGAACCCGCGCCACAGAATTACGAGTCCTGCGCGCTATCCACCAGGCTACGAGGCCCCCTAGGTGTAGGTTTCTGTTCCATTAAGTTTCCACGAGTTAATCGTGCGTGCCCAATACATAACTGAGCAAGACACTTTTTCCCCAACTTTGTTTTGTTACAGAAGGAAGGATAACACTCAATAGCACTGTATGTATTTTCTATTCTGAATAGGTGCATTGTGAAAACACTGGTACTCCACATAGAGTTCAAAATATTTTCACCTACCATGTATGTGACATATTGGGGAAAATGTTCACAGAATTGTAAAAATAGTCACTGGATTGTACAAGGTATCTGAGATTAGATTGGCACTGATATAAATGGGGGAAAACAATTTTGCTTATTTTCATTATGGATTTTGGCGAATGCTAAAAAATAACAATCTAAAGGCATGGTAGCTTAATTTTTTTTTAATTGTACAATGTACATTAATATAAGGAAGTTGTGAATTTGAAAGGAAATGGGGTGAGGAGAACTAACAAATATTTAACAAAATGTATTATAACCATTTATATAATAAACATTAGACTGAATTCTTCGCACACATGGAAAAGGGGAAGCTAAAACATAAGGTAATACAAAGTGTGATTACTGACTGGCTAATATAACGCAACAAGCTGCCGAGATATTTAGATACGAAGAACATGTGGCTAGCATGAAGGCTCTCAGAACTCAATTTTTCCGTTAACTCAAAATATAATTATGATAAAAGTACTGTAATAAAAACTAATTAAAACTGGTGAAAAATGTATAATATGAACTTTCTTAAATAAGATGATGATTAAGAGCAAAAACAAGATAAGATGATGAGGTAAAACATGAATAAAATGTGAGCACGATGTGTAATGCTCAAAACACTACACTTTGCAAGATTTGACAAACACTTGACCACTTGACATACACAAAACACTTGACCACTTGACAATACACACTTTAGCTAGTAATTTCCCTCAAGTAATTACAGTACTGATGCTTGTAGACGCTCATCACCCACTGATGCTCGGTATAAAATGTAGCCACAAGTCAAATAATTACAAATATACAAAAAAAAAAAAAAACTTCTGTTATTGGTATTGTACACTTCTTTCCAACAATGCTCTTGCATATAGAGTACAAAACTGCCTAATCCACATATGTAGTATTACATATAGTACTGTTCAACCCTTCGATAAGTAATTAATTTCCTAGATCTAGTGCTTATCAAGGCGATACTTCGTCTACATGTGTCTTGTTCTCCTGCGTAACTATTTTCTACCTGTGCATTTTAATGTCTAGTGTTTTCATAGATCATAGATTTTCACAGAGCAACAGGCAGAGATAAGGCAGCCACTAATAATTAGTCATCCGTTGCAACCAATCCTCTTAATAAGATGGTACTTTTTGTAACTTTGGACGATTGTACAAATATCGACGTGATGGACAAATAGAAAGAAGAATTTGGTACAGTACTATTCATTTTATAGTCCATAAAAATAAAGCTAAAAACCAAACTTAAATATTCCTAGGCCTATTATAGCACATGTACAATATTAGGCCTCAAATAGCATGCATTAGGCCTAGGATGGTTAGGTTTGGTTTCATTAGCAACAAATAGAAAATCTTTTCCAATTTGTCAAAATTCAATAATACAAATGTCTACTTTCTATTGGTACATCACATCCATATTCGTACCTTCTTGAGGTTATCTTGAGATGATTTCGGGGCTTAGCATCCCCGCGGCCTGGTCCTCGACCAGGCCTTCTTTTTGTTACACACACCCCCAGGAAGTAGCCCGTAGCAGCTGTCTAATTCCCAGGTACCTATTTACTGCTAGGTAACAGGGGCATCAGGGGTGAAAGAAACATTTTGCCCATTTGCCTCCGCCTCCACCGGGGATCGAACCCGGAACCTCAGGACTACGAATCCGAAGCGCTGTCCACCCAGCTTTCAGGCGCCCGACCACATCGTTACCGTAATTACCTTCCATTTTAAGTGGATGAGCTGCCCATTCACACTTGTGTACTGCCTCCCTGCTGTCTGAACATCATCATAGTTATGAAGGAAGCCCCTCTCCTCACATGCACCATATATCTCGTCCTTTAAACATGCCACCATCACCTGCAGTAAACACCTTAAACACTTGGAACATAGCTTAGGTTGTATTACAGTGTGACATATTGCTTGCTGTCATCAGTCATCTAACCACCTCAATTTAGAGGTGGTTAGAGGTCATCTAACTTGTAAAATGAACCAGCCACAGCTGTTCTATAGTTCCATACAGAAGAAAAACAGTAAGAACTCATGTTATCAGGCTGAGGAGATAAGGCAGCATCCTCATTAAAGTGTGCGACTTAACAAGAGGTTCCACTCTACACCCTTACCTTGTTGCCAATCCTTTTCCCTCTCTTACATTGTTATGCTACTTCCCTCCACCTAGTTCCCATACCCTGTTGCTTCCCTCCACCTGGTTCCCATACCCTGTTGCTTCCCTCCACCTGGTTCCCATACCCTATTGCTTCCCTCCACCTGGTTCCCATACCCTGTTGCTTCCCTCCACCTGGTTCCCATACCCTGTTGCTTCCCTCCACCTGGTTGAAGATGTCCACTGTTGTTCCGGCAATATGTCTAATGCTTATCTAATAGACTGGTTGAACCAGATCACAACTAGGAGGCCTGGTCAGAGATAAGGCCAGTGATCCCTGAAACCAACATAAGGTAAACACAAGATACAGAGTAGTAGTCTATGCAGAAGAGGAGACAAGAAGCAGCATGGGGTAGTTGGGCCAAGTAGTAAAATAACCTCGTGGGACCAAGAAGTATTATGCAGTAGAGAGACAAAGTAGTTGTATGGGAGGCAAAATGCTATGTATGGAAGATGCAAGAAGTATGGAGGCAAGATTGTATACCCCCATGCATCTTGCATGGAGTATGTAAGATGCTACGGGCTGGGCTTGCGACAGTACCTGTAGTAATAAAACCGAGTGGTGACCCGTTCGCCTCCAGACTGCCTGGAAGCTGTCTGGAGGTGACCAGAACCATCTCAACCACCTGGGGCCAGATTCACGAAGCAGTTACGCAAGCACTTACGAACTTGTACATCTTTTGTCAATCTTTGGCGGCTTTGTTTCCAATTATTAAACAGTTCATGAGCTCCGAAGCACCAGGAGGCTGTTTATAATAATAACAACAGTTGAATGGGAAGTTTTCATGCTTGTAAACTGTTTAATAAATGTAACCAAAGCCGTCAAAGATTGAGGAAAGATGTACACGTTCGTAAGTGATTGCGTAAGTGCTTTCGTGAATCTGGCCCTATCCTAGCCTGCAGTCTCCTGTAATAATTTTTTGGGTCAACAATCCTCTTACCCTATTCATTGCCCAAGGCAACTACCACATTTCCCATCCATTATTTATTATCCAGGGGTAAACAATTGCCTTCATCTTCATTCAGACAATTTGATTATTAAATTACATTAATCACAGCAATAAGGCATTGTGTTAATCATCATGGTACACTTATCATAAACAAGCAGCAAATTTGGTTTGATAACGGCACAATACCCTGTTGATAAAAGCCTTACTTATGATAATATGATTTTTTTGCATTACGTGAGGCATCAACGTCACAGCACACTCTTCCAATCACAGACTTTACAGAGGACGGGAAGTATGAGGCTCATAATAAATAAAGCATGGCCTTAGGCTAGTAATAGTAAAGCCGCATAAAAGTTAGTTAACTTACATGCTTTTTATGTAAACAAATTTCTTGTTAAAGGTGGCTTCTCAAAACGACTACCAGATTCTCATCATACCAAGAAATATCTTGTTTAAATAATGAATAGGAGGCGTAGAACAACGGATAGCATCATCGACCCAGAGGGCTGCCACAGCCACAATGATTGCATGCTTCCTCCCCAAAACACACTTGGGCTATGTTCAGTTAAGTTATTAACCAACCACAACCACTATCTTACAATACAAGGCCTTCAGGATGCAACATCAAGAAACATACCCAGTAATCAGTGGTGTTTACAACTACTTGACCTCTGTGGTTCCATGTAGATGGGGCCAGTCCCATCTACATGGGATTATAATCTCTCTATGAAATAGAATCCTAAACCTACACATCTGAGAGGAAAGCGTGCCGTTGGATCTGGCATGGTTCATTACACCGTTTTCTGTCCTAATGTTTGGCCCTTGTTTACTTTTTCAAGCCTCAGTATTGAGTCAAATCTTACACACAATATTTATTACAGCCATTTTAGGTTTACTAGAGCCACATTAAGTCTGAGCCTTATTAGGTTCAATAGAGCCACATTAAGTCTGAGCCTTATTAGGTTCAATAGAGCCACAAATATATGACAAATCAAACTATGACTGGTGTTGAGGCTATAAGCTGCCTCCCACTATATATTATCATTATGTTGTATTACCTAGAGGTGGTAGGTCTGAATCAAACATCATGTTAAGGAGGCAACAGTAATTAAACATATCCTCATTACAAATAAAATAACAGCTCTCAGTTGAGCAGAGTCCCAGGGAGTGAGGGGTAGCAGATGCAACGTGTACAGCACCAGTACACACCTTCCACACAGCCAGCAGTCACTGTAGCTACCCTGTGCTCAACCTCACATTCTCCATCTTGCTTAACACAATGCCTTCAACTAACTTCGCTGAACCCTTACACTTTAATTACAATTTTACTCACCCTACAGAGCCCTATCAAACAACGTGCTCAATACAATACACAAATACCGCTACGGGAGTAACTTAACATCTCACGAGTGTGGAGATCACAGTTGCCATATCCAAAGCAGTCAGGATGGGGCACGTAGGTCAGTGGGTCAGGTGATGTTTCATGGGTCAACAAGACCAGGCGAGTGTGGAAGACCCTGGCGGCACGGTGAGGAGTCAGTCGGGCTGCACGGTGAGGAGTCAGTCGGGCTGCACGGTGAGGAGTCAGTCGGGCTGCACGGTGAGGAGTCAGTCGGGCTGCACGGTGAGGAGTCAGTCGGGCTGCACGGTGAGGAGTCAGTCGGGCTGCACGGTGAGGAGTCAGTCGGGCTGCACGGTGAGGAGTCAGTCGGGCGGCACGGTGAGGAGTCAGTCGGGCGGCACGGTGAGGAGTCAGTCGGGCGGCACGGTGAGGAGTCAGTCGGGCGGCACGGTGAGGAGTCAGTCGGGCGGCACGGTGAGGAGTCAGTCGGGCGGCACGGTGAGGAGTCAGTCGGGCGGCACGGTGAGGAGTCAGTCGGGCTGCACGGTGAGGAGTCAGTCGGGCTGCACGGTGAGGAGTCAGTCGGGCTGCACGGTGAGGAGTCAGTCGGGCTGCACGGTGAGGAGTCAGTCGGGCTGCACGGTGAGGAGTCAGTCGGGCTGCACGGTGAGGAGTCAGTCGGGCTGCACGGTGAGGAGTCAGTCGGGCTGCACGGTGAGGAGTCTGGCTGCACAATGAAAAGTCTAGCTGCATTAAAATGAGTTTGCCAGAGATAATCATATTCACAGAACTGTGAATAGGCATGGCAACATTTCACTGAGCAGTCACAAGAGGATGAGCATGGCCACACAAAAGGTGGGAGGATGAGGTGGCTGTGCATAATAAGTTGAGGAGAATGAGTGTGGTAGGGAAGACAGCGAGGGAGTAAGTGGCCGGCCGCTGAAGTAAAAGTTGATCTCTCGCCTACACGCAGTCCTCCATGCTCATCAACAAGGGGTTCACATACTCGAAACCCTCAAATTCACTCTGGTCGATGTTCTCAATGGCACGTCTGCAACATAAGAACAAAAGTATTAACAAACCTAGCACTTACAAAAAAAACAGACCCCATAAACAACTGTGTGTGTCAGCTGTTGGTATACCTCGGTGTAGTAACAGATTTATGCAGTTTTAGCTCACAGTATTCCTGCACCATTTTCTAGTATTTGCACATTAACGTAATGTAAATTTAATTATTTGTTTATCTTGTTTGATTTGCACTCTTTGTATCAAGCCAAGCTTGGATATAATTTTTTGTTTTGTGATTTGTATAATGTCATTCTTATTAAGTAAAGTATTTTTAAATTTTTGTTCCCATATGTCTTATCCTACAGTTACCTCAACGTGAAGATTCAACTTACTTTTAATTTTTTTTGCTTTTTTTTTTGCCTTTGTTTTATGTGACTTGCATTCCATCTGCCCTAGAGAGACTGCGCTAACATTCATTTTCTCTTCACAAATGTAATGAAACTCCATTTTCTGGGCGAGACTTGAAGGCTCCCTGGAGCTATCCAGGCTGATATGGATATATTAGCTTTCTGGCATCAGTCAATGTGCATGGAGTTCTTGCCTACCGGGGACCACGAGCCAGAACCTGGCCCCCTCAGAGAGGCACAAGGAGCAATGGCCTATATAGAAACCCCCATGTGGTTGGGAGCAACTATGTCTGCCATGTCTGCAACTATGTCTGCCATTTCTATGTCTGCCATCGACCAGGTCTGGCACCCCAAAACAAACCCCTATGCTGGTGAAAATATTGATACCGAAAGCCGAACGAGTGGACAGAACTCCCCAAACGAAAATTGGCAAACATGCATGATGTCATCATGTTGCCGCACCGCTGTCTGCACAATCCCCCTCCTCGGGAGGGGAAAGAGGAACCCTAGACCCTCGCGTCAGCAATCCACCCTTCAGTTCTAAGGCTGGATGTCAAAATACGTGAAAAACACCGCCAACCAGTGGGAGGGAGGGGTGCCAGGGAGCCTCCGGGTCTCACACAGAAAATGGTGTTTCATTACATTCAATGCTGGTTTTCTGGGGGGAGCCCCGTCGGCTTCCCGGAGTTACCTCAACAAAAATAAGGAAAAAAGGGGCAGGCTGATGCCACGCGCCCTAAACACAAAATCAAAACAACAGGCAAAACCGAAGGTCCCTGTGGACAACCTGGGACACCCGAACCCTGGAACAGGAAGGAAGGAAGGGAACCCAGGCAATCCAAAGCATGTCCACAGCCACAGAGACCATGACATGCAGATAATAGCAGAACCACAACTGAATACAACATATGATGCAACCCCGGCCTAACCAACTAAGCATCAACAACCCAAGGACCCCTCCGGAAAGCAGCAGACCCATTCAATGCCAGAAAAGGAGACAGCTGCAAATGAACAAACCTACCACCAGGACCAAATGAGCAGACAAATCTCTGCGCTGGAGGAGAACATGAAGCTCCCAACCCAACCTGACCCCCCAGAGGCCAATGCCAACAGGAAAAAAAAGAGCCTTTGAAAAACAATCCTGAACCGAAGGGGCCATGACAAACCGAAAAGAAGATAGAAAAGAGAGCAGCAGGTCCAATGACGAGGACGGCTCAGGCAGTGCATGAGCAGGCCGGAGGTGGAACAATACAGGAGACAGCTTGCGGAACGGAGCAGAAGTAGCATCAATACGGAATGCAAGCTGCAGCAGCTCTGCCAGCACCACACGATGAGGCAATAGTATTCGACGTAAGATGATGGTCCTGGAAAAACTACGAAAGGAAGGATAAGACAACCCTATCAGAGACTGAAGTACACCTACACAGTACTAGTAAAAACCGGAAGGATCGCCAGGAACTTCATACTGCCACAGAAATGAAGCACGCAGGTGCGAGACTAACAAAGAATCCACTTGCACCACCATACAAATGATGAGAGACCATATGTCAGAAACGCCATACGCGAAGACTCGAGGAGAAGAACGAACCAGCCTTGTACCGGGCTGGACCAATCTGCTGAAAGAGGCGGAGCCGCGGGGAAGACCCCTCGGGTTTGGAAACCAAACAAGCAACACCTGAAATCAAGCCTGGGCCGGCCACCAAGGAGCCAGAAGGGCAACTCTCCTCTGGTAAGTCTCCAAGCGAGCCAGGACCTGGAGCAACAGCTGAACCGAGGGAAAGAAGTATGAGTAACCCCACCTCACCCAGTCCTGCCCGAAGGCCTTGTAGTTGGGGAAGGACACCACGTATACCGGGAGATGCCTCAACCACGCCGACACAAAGAGAGCCACGTCTGGGGTCCTGAAAATATGGCAGAGCTAACTGAACGAGTCTGCATCGACCATCCATTCCGTGGAAAGGGGGAATGAACCGGGGCAGGCCGTCCACCAGGACATTGGACACCCCACCCTCCCCTGAACGTGAACTGTCAGGAGAGCCAAACCCTGAGAACTCAGCAGACGAGTCACCCGAAGCGACCAGCCTCAAAGAGCCAAGGACCACATCAAACCCCTGCTGTTCAGGCAATGAACCACTGAGGAACAGTCCGAATGGAGTCGGATCATCGATCCGTGAGCGACCTCCACACAGCTGCGAACTCCAACACCGTGCTGTGAGCTCGACGGAAGGACAGAGCCCACCGTCTCTAGCCGGCCTGGTGAGCACTGGTCACAAAGTCGCTGCCCAGAGACGATGCGTCCGTGAACATATCGAGTAAGGGATCAGGTAGACGCCAAGGCACTAAATCTCGAAAAATCCGAAGAGGAAGCCGGCGAGGAAACCGCCGACGCAAGGTCCCCTGGAGGCCGAACCCAACGATCACGAGAGAGGCAGAAGGGATGTCCCTAAAAGAACCAGAACAGCCGATGAAGCCAAACCAGACTCGGTGGGTAGACCATCAAGGCAAAGTTCAGGCTCCCGCACAAACCTCTCGAGCAACCATCACATGGCCTGGGAGCCTCCCAGAAACAGACGAAGGCGGGACCGCAGTCGAAACAGAACTTCAGGAGGAAGAGACAAAGGAAGCAGTCCGAGCATCCCACACAAGAACGAACCTGAGAGGGAACCTGATGGGACCTCCAGTTCACCAGGAACCCGAACCCGACGAGCTGGGAAAGAACCAAATCCCTGGCAAGCAGAGCCGCGAACCAGCTGGGAGCCCACACCAGTCAGTCGTCGAGGTAGGTCAGCACCCACACATTTAAAAGATGCAGATGGGCCACCCCGACCCATAAGGCGTGTAAACGTGAGGTGCCAGATTCAAGTCAAATAAAAGGCAACGAAAGTGGTAACCTAGATGCCCCACAACAATACCGAGCCAGTTTCTGAAACCTGGATGAATCAAGACGTGCCAATAAGCATCCTTGAGGTCCACAGACACCATCCAAGCGCCTGGCTTCAACAGAAGATGGACCTGGGACAGAGTAGTCATCTGAAAGAAGGGGCAATAAACCCATGGGGTCAGACAGGACAGGTCCAGAATGAACCCGAGGTCCACGCAGTCCAGTTTCGGAACCAGAAACAGGTGGGAAACCCACCTGAGGGACGAGGTCATTTCGACCACGTTCAAGCGAACCCATTTTGAGATAACCTGACAGAGTGCAGGAGAAGAGGCCTGCCCCGCCAACCCCAAACCTCCCGAAGGAGGAAGGGCCACCCAACGCCAAAGACGGCTTCATTATCGAGGTGTAATCCGGGTCTCGCAGGAGGTAAGCTGCAAGGGCCTCCCACACCTTCATCGGTGGGATACGGGAAGCCAAAAGCCTCTGGAAGAACTAGAGGGAACTTGGAACCGAACCCAGGGAGGAGTCAAACAAAATCGTACAGGGAGGCGGAGAGGAAAACCTCTCCCCCTGTAACAACAAGCCCTGTGCCAAGGGTACCAACACCCAAGAAGGGTCAATTGGGGCCCAAGCCCCCCCCCCCCCAAGTCAACCCCTTCCCAGCCCTGGAATCCTCCACGTCGGGACCCAGGGCCGAGCCGTCCTCCAAACCCTCTGCTTCTGGAGAAAAAACAGAGTCCACCAGAAAAGCAGGGATGAAGAGGGGCCCGCTGGTGCGACCCAAAAGCTCCGGCAGGAGGAACAGGCTCGAATGCCTCCACTGCCGATCTGGAAAGGGCAATCCCTGAAGCCACCCGAGTCTCACTACCAGTATAATCCAAGCGGGGCAGCTGCAGGGCATCCGGAAAGGCAACCAACCTTGCACATTGCTGCAACTTAAACCTCACATGCAAAACTAAAGCTGTCTGGTGGGCATTATACTGAGTATACAGTATACCGAGGCCCAGAATAGCCCAAATATCAGTCTCAGTGGACTGGGTGAATGGAGTACGAGCAAAGAACACTACTCGCAGGACTCTGGGTCGAAGGTGTCACTGACCCCAACAGGTAGCATGGCGGAGGCAGACTGTGAGTGTCACCCTGAGACAAGAGGACAGAGCAACCTTCAAATTTGCACAAGGCGAGGTGGGACTCGAGAGGTCTCCTCCATCGGACCACTGAGCCCCGATGGGGGTTTCCAGAACCCTTAGGCTGACTGCTAAGGGAAGCCCAGGCGAGGTACTGCTAACCAGTTATCCCAGAGCTACCAAGCAAACAAACTAAAAGCTGAACCCCTGCGACGTGTGGAAGCACGGGGACCTAGTGGAGGGCCTCCAAAATCCTACAAGTGGTCCTACCACCACGCAAGGCAGATCCCCATCAGGCAAATCAAAACAAAACAAAAGACCCCCACAAAAGCACAACGTCTCCAGGTGATTAGAACCAGTCGTTATGCGTATATAAAACAGCTGCACAGTACCTCGCACCCCAGCTAGCGACAAAACTACCTCCTACCCAAGGGCTAAAGAAGGAAGAACCACCTCAGCTGAACCCCAAAGGCGGGCAATCATCGAGCAGCAATAGAACCACGCAGAGGTAGTTCCCGAACGGCTCAAGGAAGATAACCCTAAGCCACAGGGGCAGTACTTACAGGGCAGCTAGGGAAGGTAGCCCAAGGTGCATGCAGCCCGAGTACTCTTGTGTTACTCCTGGCTC